AAGGAGCTCTAGTGGTGCAGTGCCTAAGGCATTTGAGTGCTAACCAGAAGGTCAGCGGTTCAAACCCGCCATCTGCTCCGTGGAAGGAAGATGGGGCAATCTACTTCCATAAAGATTTACTGCCTTGGAAATCCAATGGGGGTCGCTATGAGTCAGAATTGACTTGATGGCAGTGGGTTTGGTTTTCTTATATTAGTGCAAGGTTGACCTCTTTCTTTTTAAGAAATTTGTCTCTACAAAAGTGGATTCAAAATATGTGGACAAAATGAAAGATAAAATTAAGAGAGGGAAGAGGAAAAAGTAAATCATAGTAATCTCACTGGAAACTATATTCTCTCTCTATCAACAATTTTTTTAAATGAAAAGAAAAAGAGATGGGTGATGTTCCCTACATCAAAGAATGTGAGGAATTAACTCGAATTCAAAATCTGAACTGAATGCAAACTGTTGGGCCTCTCAGGTTTGCTTTCTCACCACAGAAAAAGTTAGAAGTGCTTAGGTGACTTGGCAGGCATAGGCCTGAGAGAATTCCGAGAACAGCCTGCCTAATTTAGAACAATCTGGTCATATCTGAAGCCACATTAGTCGAAAACTTAGGATGTCTCTATCACCCTACTGTCTAAAGCAAGTGCTCTGACTAAAATAGAATGTTTTCCTGACTGCTTGCTTGTAAATATATTTCCTGTCAGAAGTCAGACCCATGCCTTCAGAGAGAGGCTCTTGTGTGACTCCTAAAAGCAACCTCCCTAATTGTCCTGTGACTGCAGTCAGCCTTCCAGACTCCCCAGCACAGCCCAAGCTCTTGCTGTCTTTCTTGTAATTATTGACTTCCTACTGAACAGTGTCAGCAGATTTAGAGAATAATTTAAAATGAAGGTGAAAGAAACTGGGCCCACAACTTACCTTTGCTCTCTGATATATGGACCGTCCAATGATTTGTGTGCTGTCAAGCATATCCTTTCCAGGTCCCTTAGCAATGCACATGCTGGGCTGGAACAAAATGAGAAAAGATAACTTCTTACAGACATAAGTGATTATTTTAAGGAATGGGAAATTACAACCAAATCTAGGCAAACACAGATTTATTTAAAGCCATATTCTGGCATTGCTTTCCAGAAATTCTTTCAATTTACAGACTAGAATTAGCTAAATCATGTATGGAATTGGAGCAGTGAATGTCTTCAGAAATTATCTATCCCAGCACTTTCCTTTTAAAGATAAGAAAATTGAGGCTTAGGTGGGTTAGAGGACTGAGCTACACAGGTAGCTAAGACTCCAAGCACGTTGCTCCGCTTCCTTCAATCTTTCCACCTTGTTTGTTCTTGTCTATGACTCTTGCACAAGATTGTCTTAATTGTAACTCAGTTAAAATTACATCGGAATGACAAGCTGAAGAAAGTCAATCAACAAATCTGGCTATATAGTTTACTTCTTACATTAAAAAAAAAAATGACGTTGATCAAAATACTTAAACATAAATTGGATGCATGGCCAAATACATATACAGAGATATGAGAATAGTCATTTCTGGGATGAGCAGAGGGTTAAAGGGAGGGAGGTGAATAGGGACTTTCAGTTCTTACTATTCTATGCTTCCACATAGTTTGAATTTTTACAGCAAAATTTCTCTATTATGTAATTTAAAAACAAGGCGCTCTGGTGGTATAGTGGTTAAGGCATTTGGTTGCTAACCAAAACGCTGGTGGTTCAAACCCACCAGCCACTCTGTGGAAGGAAGATAGGCAATCTACTTCCATAAAGATTTACAGCCTTGGCAACCCAATGGGGTTGCTGAGTCAGAATCAACTTGATGACAGTGAATTGTTTTTTTTTTAAAAAAAAAAACACCTATCGACATTTGAATGAACCCTGGTTGTGCAATGGTTAGTGCTCAGCTGCTGACCAAAAGGTCAACTATTTGGACTGACCCAGCAGCTCTACAGGAGAACCATCTGGTGATCTGCTCCCATGATGATTACAGCCTAGAAAACCCTATGGGGCAGTTCTGCTTTGTCATGAGGTTACTATAAGTAGATATGAACTCAACAGCACCTAACAACAACACAGACTTTTTGATCAGTAAGAAATGTTTCAGGCAGGCAGGGTTAGGTACCTCCTTGCAACTTCAGAAATGCCAAGACAAAATGTTTCAGATTGTCCAAGGTTAGGAAAGGATATTTAATCTCTGACATTTATTGAATGGTTTTACCATTCAAAAAACTTAACAGTCAAATAGAAAAACATAATTTTACCCAACTGAAATTGAGTGCATTTGGTGAGGAGTGTGCTTTTGAAAAGAGCATGTACTAGAGGTCAGTAGGCCAGTGTATCCTAGAGGAAAGCATATTTGTAAATTGGTGGTGAACATTCCAAAGTAATGTTTACATGTAATGCAAAAACAAAGATTGCAGGTGCCACAGTTACCTACCCCACCAACAGGACAAAAGCTATTGGCATTATCACAGGAGTCTCCAGTGTTGATGCAATGTGGGCCAAGAATATTGGGGGACACATCTCCTAGGTTTGATGAAGCAAAAGCTGCTACATACGGTCCCTGCCAAAGAAACATCCAATTAACCTTTTATGCTTTCTTGTTTTCTATAATAACTGCCATTAAAAATGCAAACATTCAATCCACTCTGGTGAACCATGCAAAATCATTTATAGACAATAATAGTAATATGTGCAATATTCAGAGAAAAATTATTTCTGAAAATGCTCATACTGCAATCAGTATGTGTAATATTACTGAAAATATTCCCATTTCCAATAAAGCTGCTTCAAGTTGGCCAGGCTCAAACTTATACCTCAAACTGAAATACTTTGACAAGAAACAGAATGTACAAAAACAAATTCTAAAATGCTGACCCATAAATCTATTCTGTACTGTGTTCCCTGGAACTCAGAGATCAATTTGCCCTTTAAAGGTAAATATCCTACTGGCTTAGAAGAAGAGAGAAAATTTACATTTTCCTGTTGCAAAACTGAACCCAAATATACCATCCAATATCCTGACCTGCTCTCCATTTATCCTTTCTCTATCTTTTCACCCTGAAGTAAACAACACATAACATTTTGGAATGGGAAGGACATTAGCCTCAATTCAACTGGTCTTTTACTCCACCTAATGCTCTTGAGAAAAGAGATAAGCAAGTATTAGAGGACAGAAGTCTTTCTTGATACGAAAATAATAATTTATCTCAAAGAATTTAGCATCCAACCAGTGATCGTAAATATGAACTTACTTTCTTTTACCTAAAACTACAGGCTAAAATGAAAAAATAAAATAGAGTGAGTTATGTCAACAATGTTGCTAAGAGATCAGATTAAATGTTGCTGGGGCTTTATAACAGAAAATTTGTTTTAGGCAAAGTCCTAGGGCTCTCACTTGCCCCTCCACCCATCTTTTGCATTTGGGGCTTGGATGCTGGGGTCAAACAGGGTGCTTACTCCCATGTATCTATCTGTAGTCATTAGTT